GCTGAGCAGGGAGCCCGTTTCGGGGCTCAATCCCAGGACCCTGGGATCCTGACTTGAGCCAAAGGCAGACGCTTAACCATCTGAGCCACCCAGGAGCCCCTATTTTATTTTTAAAAAGATTTTATTTATTTATTTGAGAGAGAGTGAGCGCACAAGCAAGGGGGAGAGGCAGAGGGAGAGGGAGAAGCAGACTCCCCACCGAGCAGGTTGCCCAGTGCGGGGGCTGGATCCCAGGCTGAGATCATGACCTGAGCCGAAGGCAGATGCTTAACCGACTGAGCCACCCAGGCGCCCCCTCCCCTTTTTAAAGAGAGAATATTCCTCATTGTTGCCCTAATTCCGGCAAGCTGCACTTTCCCTTACTGAAAATCGAATTTAATGCCATCTACCATAATTGTTTCAAAGATTAAATAAAGCTAATGTGGGTGCCTGGCACTTCATAGGTGCTCAATAAACGTGAGCTGAATCAGAACCGAGGTTGGCAAACCTCCCATGTGTAAAGGCTGTGCAGACGCAACCATGGGTGGAATTATCCCTGGCAGGCCAATACTGAAAAAGCTCAATGAAACTGAAGAAACTTGTGCATTCAAAAGGCCGGTTTAGGTAACTGTGTTTAAGCTTTAGCTTTCTTTCTGAGTGGCTATGTGTGGAATGCAAGGCCAGCAACCGCCTCACAAATACTGATCAAGAGTGGGGAGGCATCGAAAGGAATGCGAGTAGGTCTTGCCAGGAAAGAAGTTTGCTGCTTCTGAAATGTTTTGGTCTTAGCCAGTGGCAGGATTGATCGATTGCAGTTAGCAGAGCGTCTTCTGTGCAGCCTGTCCAAGCATCTGCTTCTGCAGTGCTGCGCAACTGTTGCTCAAATTCACTCTCCCTTTCGAGTCATCATCTCTGAAGAGCCAGCGAAAATCCCTTCAAACCACCCGAAGTATCCTAACCGCTTTCAAGTCCCTTAAAGGAGGGTCCTTAACATTTCCCCTTACCCCCTGCCTGGGTTCAAACTTCAACTCCCAGGGTTCGCCCAAGTCCCTCCCCTTGCCCTGTCATCTAATGAATATGCAAATGCCACATAATTGGCAGCCAATGGCGTGGGTTCTGGTCACATGGTGCCCATGGTAGGTGAGCGGACAGAAGTTGTGTGTCGGTGAACAGAGACAGCTCTCAGTCTGGGGCGAGCGCTTGAGTGAGCGTGGACGGATGCTTGGGCAGTAGTCCCTGCGGCGGCGGCGGCGGCAGTAGTGGTGGCAGGGGAGGGGAAGGGGGAGGGCCCCGAGGGCTACACACGCTCACACTTTCAAGTTCCCTTGGAGGGAGAGGAGGTGGGGCTGCAGAAAGAGGAGGCCAGGAGCAGTTCCATCCGTCCCGTCCCGTCTGCCCCCTTTCTTCTTGCTACCTGCACCTTGGCTCTGCGAGAGTTGAGGGTTCGGGTGGTAGTCCGCGGCAGTGAGGGCAAGAGGGTCAGGAGAGTGGGCAGCGGAGCCAGGGGTGCGGGGGAAGATGCCCATCCTGCTGTTCCTCATAGACACGTCCGCCTCTATGAACCAGCGCACTGACTTGGGCACCTCCTATTTGGACATTGCCAAAGGCGCTGTGGAGTTATTCTTGAAGGTAAAGGGAGGGGAGGGGAGAGCTGGGGAGAACTCCCGAGGGATGGGGGTGGTGGTGGATCTAGGTGCTTCTGTAACGTCCGTGTCGCCCCCTCCTCCCTCCTTCCCTTCGCGGCCCCCTCCGTCATCCCTCGTCACGCAGCTGCGCGCCCGGGACCCGGCCAGCCGCGGAGACAGGTACATGCTGGTCACCTACGACGAACCCCCGTACTGCATCAAGGTAAAGGGGCCCTCGAGGGCGTGGGCGGGCGGGAAGTGGGAGCCAGGCGCCCGCGGCTGGCGCCCCTGCCCCCGCCCGAGGCGGTGCTGCGGTG